CGTCTACCCCATCAAGTCAGCCCGTGCATCGAGACATGGCCCTCTTTATATTACCACGGTCCAACGCATTCAAGGACTAACTTCTAAACAACAAGTGGGCAGCCAAGGAGACCCCCTCCACCAACATATCTAAGAAGTATAACTTCGGTTGCTGATTACATTTAAAAAATATTTGCTCTACCCTTACAATCATTCTGCATTGGCTCCCATACAGATTTTGTTCGTTGTCATCTACTGGCCCCGTAGTGTAATCTCCCCTTTATATACTTTTATCGAAAACAAAAACAAAAAATAAGCATGATGTGACAACAAAACTTGGAAGTGATGAACGGGAAAATTACAGGGTATTCACTGGCAAGGTTAGGCTTGTAAAAGTCATAGGCATGAGCCATATGACTACCCCTGAGCTTGCTTTCAAATGCAATAGGAGCATCAGGTCCTATTAGCATTGCAATGGCTGCAGCTCCTCCAGTAGGTCTGGCCGGTCCTGCAGCGTAGACCTGTAATACATAGATTTCCAATTGTTAAAATGCAATCTGGATCAACAAATGAACTCTATAAACAGCAAAATAATACATGTTTACGATTCTAAGCTCCCTCTCCACAACAACATTGACCAAATTTTCAGGACCATCAATAATAATTGCAATCCAAGAAAAAATTCACATTCTTCCAGGTAGTTTGAAAAGGAAGAGTGCTCATTGAAATACATAAAACAACAAAATGAACTCCATTTAGTAAGAAGGTTTTGTTCGTACCGCACTATCTGTGCAAACAACAAGTCCATAACGTCCATCCCATGAACTACTCTCAACCCAGTTGACGCAGTTGAACAAAGCTGCAGTTCCACCATAGCATGCATTCGACGAGTCAACACCTTCAATATCAGTATTTCCACATCCCTGAATATTTAACACAGAGCAGTACAAATCTTAGATGGCTCAAAGCATATGGTTAACCAACTTGTGTAAACCTACTATTACTACTTATGTCATTCAGTCCCACAGTTTGGTGAATGATAATTCACTACCTATGGCCATAATGCATGATTTCAGCCATGCCATACGCAAGCAGAGAACACAAGATAATTCCATTTGAACCAGAAGTAACAAAAAGGCTGGTTGTTACCTCAAAGATTTGCATCAAGAATGTCTTGATGGATTTGCTCTTGTCTAAAACAGTCTCGCTTCCAACTTCTAGCCTACCAATTTGCTTTGGATCAACATTGTACTTCTCAAGAAGAGAAGTCACGGCTGTCAAACTGAAGATTCAGATGGTTAATTAGAAAGGACTGCAAGCATGTCATAAGTGAAGTTTTTAAAAGTAATTAGATATTTACAGATATAGCAAGAAAATTTGACTAAACCTAGGAAGTTTGAGCTGCTAGTGGCATCATGGGCGATTAATCAGCATATCAAAAATAGAAAAGTGATTAATTAGCAGAAGACTCATTATTTTTGAGGATCAATGCAAACCATGTTAAAAAATGAATCATATATGTCATCTGTCTTGTCAGCTATCCTTTCCAAAAGATTTGTTTTATATGATTCTCATCAATATAAAGTTGTACAAAAAAATCAAGTTACAAACCACGATCCAACTTAACAACAACAAACTACTGATAATTTACCAGCATCTGATTTTCAACCTGCCACTGGAATTTACCATCAACACACGACGGTGGAAGCAGCAACAAGTGTATTAATCAACAATCATAAGTAGACTCTTTTAGTACCTCATGGAGATAACATCTTCTACCTCAGTGCAAAATCCCATGCAATCTTGTCCAAGCCCGATTGTGTACTTCCCTTTGCTTGCTCCATCATGAGCCTCCAAAATTTCCTGCAGCACAAATAAAATATCAACAGTGCAATCTTCAAAGGAAATCAAATCCACATTAAGTTCCATCATAGATCTTGAAACAACAAATCTATTGATGAAAGCAAGGGTTGGTCCGAGAGATAACCCTTCCCCAGGCCATTTACCAGGGTTGGACTCGCACCATGCTGCAGCTTGCAGCATAGATGTTCCCATCCCCTTGATGTACCCAAAAACAACAAATTAGCAATAACAACTATAAAGTTAGAATTTTTTTCTTGTATAAATGATATAACAACTGCGAAAGAAAGTAAAATGACAGGAAGTTGAAAGAAAACATGCTTATAGATCTCCAGTCAAACAGAGGAAGCTCCAAGAAAATCAAGCCATGCCCATCAAAAACCATAGTGAAGTCAAGAAATTACAAAAACGATGGCCGAAAACACGTACTACTAGTGATTACAAAAAACTGTCAAAGCCCCACATATCCAATTGAAAAACCCAGCAAAAATTAGCTTTTCTTTCTCAAGGGAAAAAACAAAGACATTTTTCACAAAAATGTATGACTTAACTTGTAGTATACCCGAAATGATAAAGCAAGAAACATTACTATTTCCACGTCATTTTTCCTTCTCTACAGAATTACAGAGAAACCCAACATCCAAAAAGGTAATTTAAAAAAGCACTTGAATCATATCAGAAGATAAAAAAAAAAAAAATTCCCCTCTGTACAAAAATTAAAAAAGAACCGCTACCCATAAAAGCCTTTTAACCAAACAACCAATCTAATTAAACCATACATAAAAATAAATAATAAAAATCAAAACTCGGGTTTGGTTTGTTTTTACCTGCTGGATGCAAGTGGGAGGGAAGTAAATTTCCATAGCCAGAATTCCAACATTTTTGTTGTTGTGGGCAGCCATTCTTTGTTTTCTGCTTCAATCTACTTTAGCCAAAAAAAGGTGGCGATGATTCCAAAGAAACACAAGCAACCAAGAAGAACAGAGAAGATTTACAAATAGATAGAAAGAGGGGTCCTCTGTCTAACACTAGTATTTCTATCCTCTGTCTCTCTCTCTCTCTCTTACTAGCTCTGCTCAAGAAAGAAGGAGCGAGGGGAGGGGAGGGGAGGGGAGGAGAGTGAATGGAATCCTGGAAAGTCGCTAAATCTGTTGTGCTGAGGCTCACATGGTTCCGTTGTGGTGGGTGTGTGGGGTTTATATAGTGCGAGGGAATTGCTATTGCTGACTTCGTGATTCTTGTTTTTCACCTTTTCCATTCCTGTTCCCATTTCCCACCCAACAAGCCAATTTTTTTAACAACTAGTATTAATTACTGCTATTTGGCAACAATTTTCTTCATTGGGAAGTTTATTTACTAATTACTATTATTTTGCAAATGACTTTTACCAAATCTGTATGTGTGTGTTATAATTATGTAAATGATTCTTCCTATTTGGTGCTCTAAAGGCACCACGGATAAGTACCAAAAATAAGAAGTTAGCTCCAATTATTAAACATTTAAAATTTTCATTTACCTCCTAAATTGCAGTAATGCTTTGCAAACAAATTTTTTTATCCTTCCAAAAAAGGCAAAAAAAAAAAAAAAAAAAAAAACTTGTTAGGACGCCAATTAAATGAATGCTTAAAAAATTGATTAATGTTAATTAGGAAAGCGGATGGATTACTCTCAGGAATAGAGTGAGATTCCAATTCTCAAGGATGTTGGGTAACTTATCAGTCACAGGGTTTGCCATTATGTCAAGTTGAAGAAGGGTATCAAAGATGGCTGATTTGCTTTCTCACTCCTCTCCCATGTCCCAAGTCTCACCTGTAATGTATGTGCGCTGACCTGGGCACCTTGGCTTGGCTAACCACCAACCCTAGTCACACACTGACATATGCACACTTGGTCACAGCCACCTTTACAATAAACATGGGCTGGCTCCTATGCTATTGACTTTGACCTCCATCATCCCATTAGATTGTGATTATAGGGTTGGATGGGTTAGGGCTCGTGCCTAACAATTTTCATATAGGACCGTTAATAGGATCGGATTAATCAAGACTCAGCCTAAAAAATAAGAAAGAGTTTCTTTTAATTATTAGATTCGAATTAATTGTAAGTCAAGTTTGAGTTTTATTAGCCTTACTCGAATTAAACCTCAGTCGAGCTAATTGTACTTTTAAGTATATATATGAATAATGTGTGTAATTTATAATTTTGCATGTTATAACTTAAAAAATTAATAGGTTATACATAATTATATAATAATACACAAATATTAAATTAGATTGTGAGTTTGGGATGATCCAATTTAAACCCAAAACTTTAATAATTTTGTGAGTCGATATGAATCTTATAATAGTGAGTCCAAACCCCAAACTTGAAAACTTAAAACCCTATTTCTTTTGTGAGTCGAATTTGGATTTGCCAAAGCTTGATTCATTAATCCAATCGGCAACCCTAATCCCATGGATTGTGTAACATTTTATATCTTTTTTCAAATATTTTTTACTATTTTAATGCATAAAATTTTCACTTAGATGGAATTTATGTAGTGAGAAAAAATTTGTAATTTGACTGCAATTCAAAACTAAAGGAAAAAAAAGATTGAGATCAATTGTGGATTTATTGTCCAACAATACATAGAGGTTTGGATTCGACCTTTACCAATCTCTATCTTTTTCCATATTTTCTCCCTTTCTCCCTATAGGAATTTTTTCTTAAATTTTTAGGACAGGTATCCTGACCCGTGGGTAGGGCTGCAAACGAATCGAGCCGCTCGCGAGCGGCTCGAGTCAAGCTCGAGTCGAGTGTCAGGGCCCAACGTTTATGGGATGTCGTTTAATGAGGAGTGTTGTGCGTTTGGTGATTGTATTGCAGAATGTCTTAAACGACGTAGTTAGCATAAGTCAGTTAGTTAGAGTTAGTTGCAACAGACAACAGAATTGTATAAGATTCCTTCCAAATGCTGTATGGATTTTATCAGAAATATAATACTGGAATTACTTTCTCTCTCTTCTTGGTTAATCTCTCCTGTCTTTCCTCCCCTTTCATCCAATTCTCTCTTCTTTCCCAATTCTTCTTCCCAAATCTGCTACCGACCGACCTAGCTCAGGAGCTCTTGCCTGACAATTGGTATCAGAGCAGCCGATCCTTGGCTGCTTGTGGCACCACTCATGGCTGAAAACACCAGGTATCGTTCTCTAGAAGAACAGCTCAAGAAACAGGAAGTTCGACTTCAAGAGGTAATGGAGACCATGGCCGCAGCTCAGACTTCCTGCCAGAATAGCTTGCAGCAGAAATTCCAAGAGGAGCTCGGACAGAACAACGCGAAGGTAGAGGCGATGGTAGGCAACCTGGATCAGAGGTTCAGTAAGATGGAGATGAAACTCAATGCACTACTGAAGGTGATGATGAAAGAGAAAGGTATGCCGGAGACAGAGGCATGCTCATCAGAACCACTCCTACCGACTCCTCCACCGCATTTTAAGCTCATGACTTCCACAGAGGTGCATGGAGCTCAGCCAGAGGTTAGAGCTAAGACTTTTACTCCCAGCTTACCACGACTTGAAATGCCTATGTTCGCATCTGGTAATCCTAGAGAATGGTTGAGGAAATGTCATAAATACTTCTTGAATTACCAAATACCTGAAAATCAAAGGGTAGATAAGAAATGTTTTTAGAAGGGAGAGCTGACAATTGGTTCCAGGGAGTTAGACTAGAAAACCTAGGTTGACTTGGTCTGAATTCTGTGAGCTGTTGTGTGAAAGGTTTGCAGGGAAGTGGTCTCGTGATGTGGTTGAGGAATTCAATAAATTACAACAAAAGGGGACAGTAGAAGAGTATGAGGAGAAGTTTGAGGAATTGAAAACACTCATGTTGATCAGGAATCCTAGGCTGGACGAAGGTTATTTCATATCCAGTTTTATTAGTGGTTTAAAGGATGAGATCAAACCAATGGTTAAAATGTTCAAACCCCTGACTCTTTCCAAAGCATTTGAGGTTGCGGAATTGCAGGAATGCTCCATAGAGACCATGTCCAAACAGCCTAAGACTCCAGGCAGGACTGCGGTTGACCCTAAGTATGGGATGTTTAGAAACCACAGTAACAGCCAAAACAGTTCCAGCTCCTATAAACTTCCTGCTATTGATCCTACTAACAGGAAGGTTGACACGAGATCAGGGAGGTGAGCAGGATTTCAGCTGAGGAAATGCAGTATAGGCGTAAGAATGGCCTATGTTATAGATGTGGGGATAAATTTGGGATTGGTCATCAGTGTAAATCTGGGGGATTGAACTGTGTAGGTATAGAGGAAGAGGATGAAGCTGAATTCGAGGATGCGGAAGGAGAACAAGATGAGCTCACTGGGAGGGTAGGAGAAATGGCTGAAGTATCCTTGAATGCGTTAGCAGCAGCAATACAGAGGAAATCTATTTTGCTACTAGGTAACCTAGGGGAATACCTGTCAAGATCCTGGTAGACACTGGTAGCTCTGACAGCTTCATACACTATCAGTTGGCTAAATCTCTTCAGCTTCCCTACCAAACAGTCAGACCTTTTACTGTAACTTTGGCAGATGGCACAGACATCACAAGTGGCACAATTTGCCCAGGGGTTAGATGGTTAATACAGGATTACCAGTTTCAATTCGATCTGAAGATAATGGAGTTAGGAAACTGGGATATCATCTTAGGAGTTGACTGGATGTGTCAATTCAGTCCCATTACGTTTGATTTCCATGCACTCAGTATTGCTCTTAGCAGCAGGGGTGACTTACTACATCTCCAAGGCCATATTAATCAACCTGTGATGGAATTAGTAAGGGGTAAAGATCTTAGAACATTTATACAAGAAAAGCAAAGGAGCTGTGCCTTCCTACAGATGGACCCCCAGGGAGATCAAGAGGAGGATATCCCAGAACAAGTGACTTCAGTACTACAGCAGTACTCTCAGGTGTTTGCAACCCCTCAGGGATTGCCTCCGGAGAGAGAACTAGATCATCAGATTACTTTGAAACCAGGAGCAGAGCCATTCAAACTTAAGCCATACAGATATCCCTACGCACATAAATCTGAGATTGAAAAACAGGTTGCTGAAATGCTTACAAATGGGATTGTTAAGCACAGTTGTAGTCCTTTTGCTTCTCCTGTGCTGTTGGTTAAGAAAAAAGATAATACTTGGAGGCTATGTGTGGATTATAGGAAGCTAAATGAACTTACTGTAAAGGACAGGTTCCCTATCCCAAACATTGATGAGCTGCTGAATGAATTACATGGGATTAAGTACATGTCTAAATTGGACCTCAGAGCTGGATATCATCAGCTAAGAGTCAAGACAGCAGACATACATAAGACTGCTTTCCAAACACACCATGGTCATTTTGAATTTTTGGTGATGCCATTTGGCCTCACTAATGCACCAGCTACTTTCCAATCTCTGATGAACAGAATATTTCAACCTTATATGAGGAAGTTCGTGTTAGTTTTTTTTGATGACATTCTGGTTTATAGTCCTACACTGGAGGCACACGCACAGCATTTGAAGATTGTGTTGAGTATCCTAGCTGACAACCAGCTGTATTGCAAAAAGTCTAAATGCTCTTTTGCTCAGACTTCAGTGGAGTATCTGGGACATATCATTTCTGAGCATGGAGTGAGTATGGACATGAGTAAGGTGGAGTGTATCCAGTCATGGCCTACCCCTGGCACAGTTAAGGACTTGCGAGGGTTCTTGGGTTAACTGGATACTATAGAAGGTTCATTAAGGGGTATGGGATTATCTGCAAACCATTAACTCAGTTGCTGAAGAAGGAGGGCTTCGTATGGAGTCACAATGCTCAGTTAGCATTTGAAGATCTTAAAAGGGCTATGACTACTGCACCAATTCTCAAAATGCCAAACTTTGAACTTCCTTTTGTAGTAGAAACTGATGCTTGTGGGGTGGGCATTGGAGCAGTGTTAATGCAGCAGGGGCATCCCATAGCTTTCCTTAGCAAAGCTCTCTCTCCTCAGAATTTAGGGATGTCTGTGTATGAGAAGGAGTTGTTGGCTTTAGTGTTAGCAGTGACTAAATGGAAGCATTACCTTGTGGGGCACCACTTCATCATCAAGACTGATCATCAGGCTCTTAAGTATCTGTTGGAGCAAAGACTTACCCATCCTTTACAGCATAAGTGGCTCACTAAGTTACTTGGTCTGGACTACGAGATTCAGTACAAAAAGGGGACTGAAAATGGGGTAGCTGATGCCCTTTCTAGAAGGAGGCTGGAGGGAGGAAACGGGGAGCCAGACACAGGCAAACACCTCTGTGTACTTTCAGCTGTGCAACCAATGTGGGTGAAGGAGTTAGTTGAGAGTTATGATGGTGATAAGGTGGCTTTGGATATCATGTCTCAATTGTTGTTGGATCCTAATGCTTGCTCAGGGTACCAACTGGAGAAAGGATTGCTCAAATTCAAGGGAAAACTGTATGTAGGAGCAGCTAATGGGATCAGGCATAATTTGATCAAGGCTCTACACGACTCAGCTGTTGGGGGTCACTCTGGCCAAAGAGCCTGTTTACAAAGGGTACAATCTCTGTTCTACTGGCCAGGCATTAAGAGGGATGTGGTACAGTTTGTTCAGGTTTGTGATACTTGTCAGAGAAATAAGCATGAAAATGTCCCTTATCCAGGCCTACTGCAACCACTTCCAGTTCCTCAACAAGCATGGACTCACTTAACTATGGATTTTATCGAGCAGCTGCCCCTTTCCCATGGGTTTGACACCATTCTAGTAGTGGTTGATCGTTTCACTAAGTACAGTCACTTCATGAAGCTGTCCCATCCTTATTCAGCACACCAGGTAGCCCAGTTGTTTCTTGACCAGGTGTATAAGTTGCATGGTCTACCTGAGTCCCTCACCTCTGACAGGGACAAGGTCTTCATTAGCAGATTCTGGCAGGAGCTGTTTCGTGCCTTGGGGTTGGATTGCAGTATAGTTCATCTTATCACCCTCAAACTGATGGCCAGAGTGAAAGGGTCAACCAGTGTCTTGAAAGCTACCTGAGGTGTATGTGTAGTGAACAGCCATCCCATTGGAGTACTTGGTTATCTGCAGCTGAGTTATGGTATAACACTAATTTTCACACAAGCCTGCAGCTGACCCCTTTTGAAGCTTTATATGGTTATAAACCATTGCATCTGCCTTTGGGACCCTTCCACGATAGTGTTGTCCCAGCAGCTGTGAGTATGGTACAGGAGAGACTTCAGGTTTTGGCCAACATCAAAGATAATCTGGCCAAGGCCCAGAATCGAATGAAACACTTTGCTGATAAAAATAGGACAGAGAGGTCCTTTCAAGTAGGTGAATGGGTCTTCCTGAAACTGCAGCCTTATCGACAGCAGACAGTGGCCATCAGGAAGAGTTTAAAATTGTCTCCTAAGTACTATGGCCCTTTCCAGATTATTGCGAAGGTTGGTGCAGCAGCGTACAAGCTCCAACTTCCGGAGAAAGCCAGAATACACCCAGTTTTCCACATTTCTCTGTTGAAGAGGAAGATTGGGGTAGGCCTGGGCACTGAATCTACCCTGCCTGAGTTTGATGCTTCTGATCCGTGTATTTTACAGCCGGAGAAGGTAGTTAAGAGGAGGGTGGTTCTACGAGGGTCCCAACCCATCATTCAGTATTTGGTTAAATGGGATCATTTGCCAGAAACTGAAGCATCATGGGAGGACAAGACGTTCATTGACAAGCAGTTCCCTGATTTTTCAGCTTGAGGACAAGCTTATTTCTTATCAGGGAGGGAATGTCAGGGCCCAACGTTTATGGGATGTCGTTTAATGAGGAGTGTTGTGCGTTTGGTGATTGTATTGCAGAATGTCTTAAACGACGTAGTTAGCATAAGTCAGTTAGTTAGAGTTAGTTGCAACAGACAACAGAATTGTATAAGATTCCTTCCAAATGCTGTATGGATTTTATCAGAAATATAATACTGGAATTACTTTCTCTCTCTTCTTGGTTAATCTCTCCTGTCTTTCCTCCCCTTTCATCCAATTCTCTCTTCTTTCCCAATTCTTCTTCCCAAATCTGCTACCGACCGACCTAGCTCAGGAGCTCTTGCCTGACATCGAGCTCGACATTAATCGAGCTCGAGTCGAGCTCGAGCCAGCTCGAGTCAAACTCGAGCTCGAACTCGAGCTCAGAATATTAAACTCGTTAGCTCGCGAGCCGGCTCGCGAGCTTGAATATATATATATATATTTTTATTTTTATTTTTATTTAATAATAAAATTACGTATATTATATATATATATTTTTTTATTTTTTATTTTCATAGTGAAATTACGGATATATCCTTAATATTTTATTATTTATTCAGAAAAAAATATTATTTTATTTAATTTTTTTAAAAATAAAAAAAAATTTATTTTTTTCGAGCTCGAGCTCGAAAATTGCCAGCTCATCGAGCTCGAGCTCGAGCTTAATAAAATTTAGCTAAGGCTCGGCTCGATTAGCTCAAAACTCGACTCGACTCGACTCGTTTGCAGCCCTACCCGTGGGTATGCACGTGTTTATATTTTAGCATTCAAATTGAAGAATAAAAATTTGAAGCAAAAGAAAAAATTCTCATAAGTTGCAATTTAGTTTTACACTTTTTAAAATATACTTGCATTTGTCTGATGAATATTATTCCTTTTTATTCTTTATATAGTTTGTCCTTTTAGTTAGAATTACTAAGTTGAAAGGAAAGATATTATCTTTTACTTTTAGTAGAACTTATGATGTTTCATCTTTATTTATCCTCTCATGAATAAACTTCAAATCAATTTCATGGAGGAACTTCTGACATTTTAAATTCAAAAACCATGAAGAGATATTTAATAATTAAAATTTTTCAAAATTATGTGAAAAAAGAACATGGAGTTGGAAGCATTATGATTTGACCGTCCTGAAAACCCTTCTGCAATTTATATTGACTAGTGTTTAAGGCACACACAAACTCGTGTTCTACTAATAGGAAAAATATTTGTAAATTTTTTTGAGTACATTTGTAGAAAAAAATTACCAAAATAAAATGTATAAAAAATAGTTATTTGATAGCAATTCAAAACCATAATTGGTAATTGCAAATGAAAATTAAGATTAATTAAATAAGTTGACAATTAAAATAAGAAAAAATCATATTATTTAGTAAAAAAAAACCATATTAGTAGTGGGTAGGTATCAAGGGTGGTTTACAATGTATATAATATGACATATTTTGTTTACACTAAAAGCCCCTTCTCCCTTTATATATAGTATAAATATAGCTATTTGTTGGGCTGGAAGAGTGCATTTAAAATTTTCTTTTGCAATGTGGAATTGTTTTGTAATGTTTTCTAATTTTATGTTGGTTAGTTAATTCCCTTTTGTACTTGTCATTTGTAATTAAAACTGTTTAAGTTCAAACAAGGATTAGAGTAGATAGCCCATCTTGTGAGTTTATATGCACTTTTACCCTAACCCCCCATTACGTTTCTTTGAGCTATATATTTTTTCTGCCAATTGAGACTCAGGAAAATTACAGTAGTTTCTTTATCACGCATTATGTAAAATCCACATTGAATTTTAACTTTTCAAATTAAGTCCCTTTTGCCATTTCAACTTCTATTGAAATGGAGAAAAGTTGAACTGACTGGTAAAATGAAAGGAGTTGCAAGTAAAATGTGGCGAGCTCAAAACCATCCACTTATAAACTCCCATCGAAAAAACTAATGACTTAAAAAAGTGTGTCAAGACCAGAAATGAAAAACAAAACTCGTTTATAAGTATTACTACTACAACAATTTATATTTGGCACAAAAGTCAATGCAGGCGCTGGTAAATGTAACAGCATTAATTTGTCCGACATATATGTTAGGCAAACCAAAGTTAGCAGTAAAATTTTACACTTGTTCTGATCTCGATCGACAGCAACTTAGAGGTCACCTACCTACCACATCGACCGTAGGACTTGGAGAATAAGTTTTGCTTTCTTTTCTTTTCCCTTTGCTTTTTTGCCCTCATCCTTGCAAACGTATAACCTCATAGCATTTCCTTTCCAACTTGGAAGTTCACTTTTTGAAGTTCTCAGTTCACAGATCTATGGGCAACCACCGTCAGTAGGGACAAATGAGCTTTAAACTTTGTCCAGCCAAAAAAAACCTATTATACTGCTGACATGACCATCACCAAAACCCACCTCCCAAATCTGGGATCTGTGGAACGCATTAGCATAATAATCTAACCCTGGTGGTTCTTTGAGTTTTAACTACAGGGGTCTACAACCATTCTACTACAACCCAAAACCCTAAAGTAGTGAGTGATTCCTGATATGCTTTCTCATTTTTAATAATAATCTGTTCTTTACAATCTCTTTCTTTTTCTATGACTACTGTTTGTTACTGACAATTCAGGGCTGCACATTTTTGGTCTTTAATTTCCACTTTGATAGTTGATTAATGAACACATTTTAGGTCAATTACACAGTGCACCATTTCTGTGTACATGTAATTATTGCAGAGGAGTAAGTCAAGAAAGGTGATGGTAAGAAAAGGGGTTCCGAACCACTTTTTTTTTTTTTTTTGGCCATTGACAACTTCATGTTGGATGCTGGAGCAGTGAGTCCATGACAGACACAGAGCGGAGAAGTCTTCATGCGGCTTACTCAGTTGCAGGGGAAAAAAAAATTTTTTGCATGAAGTGATTTCAGTCAAAACGTAGACAGAGTCCTTGGTGGTT